TTTTTAAAAAAAAGTGGTTGTTGCTTTTCATACAATTAAATGCTATATTTAATTGAATGTTTCTTTTGCTTATTTATAGTACATAGTAAAAGTTGCTATGGAAAATTATTTCTCATAGAATGGAAAAATATCATTATTAGTGATTGTATAATTTGCTCTTTATTGATTTTGCAGTAAGAGGCAAACAATAATGTGATTTGGTATTCATTATTGTTTAAATAATGTGGTATTCAGTATTTTGATAAATGCTATTATACATATCAAAATTTGAATTATAAATTATATTACTACTTAGAATAATATTTAAAATAAATAAATTATCTGCAGATGTAAGTGCTCTATTTAAAGCCCTCTTTAGTAAATTTGGCTCTATGAATTTAGTCCAAAATTTCCTTCTTGCTTACTTTTAAGTACCTTTAAATTATTACCTTGATTTATTTAAATAAGTAAGGAAATGCTCAAATCATAGAGAACCAGATTTTAATGAAAATACCCCGAAAAGGGAAGGTACAATATTGAACTATATCAAAATCATATATATGAATTACTATTTAAAGTAATTTGGTAATTAGAAAGAAAAAAAGATGTGTTATGGGATTTTGGCAAATAATAAACTATTGGTTGATATATTTCCAACTTTATATTAATTCCTGTTTACTGGTTTTCCTTACCATCCATATATTTTTTAAATGAAGTTTATCACAAAAATGTATCGCTGATTTATTACCAGTGGCGTAAATAGACTTGGGGCACCTCCCCTCTAATATATATAAATTTGCCCTATCCTAGACTTACCACAATAATTTTAAATTATGCAAAGAAACAAAACCTCTACGGCAAAGTAATATTNAACCAGATTTTAATGAAAATACCCCGAAAAGGGAAGGTACAATTTTGAACTATATCAAAATCATATATATGAATTACTATTTAAAGTAATTTGGCAATTAGAAAAAAATCTTTGTAAAAAAAAAAAAAAAAAAAAAAATAANAAAAAAAAAAAAAAAAAAAAAAGATGTGTCAATGGGATTTTGGCAAATAATAAACTATCGGTTGATATATTTCCAACTTTATATTAATTCTTGTTTACTGGTTTTCCTTACCATCCATATATTTTTTTAATGAAGTTTATCACAAAAATGTATCGCTGATTTATTACCAGTGGCGTAAATAGATTTGGGGGCACCTCCCCGCTAATATATACAAATTTGCCCTATCCTAGACTTACCACAATAATTTTAAATTATGCAAAGAAACAAAACCACTATGGCAAAGTCATATTGGGTATTTATAAACAGTAATTTTAAGATAAAAATATATCGTAATTGCAATGAAAAGCTACTGAATTGAACACTTACCAGATTGAAATGAAATATATCTTATTGATACAAGAAAGTAGTTACTGATATTACAATAATTAAATTCAAAATGTAGTTAAGATTAATTATCATTACATGAATTAAAAAGTCTTATAAGTAAAAAAATATATTTACTGTATCTCAGTTTTTTTCTAAAGCGCACGTCCTCAACCCCGGTGCGTTCTGCGGAGATGTTCTTCACGCCACTGTTTGTTAGGTAAAAGCTATCTTTATCGAAAAAGTAATATACAAAAACGCTGTTGTGCATAATTTTTTTTTAAAATTAGAACTTTGCTTTGTTAGAAAAAGGTTAACTTTTTACAAATTTGAAGCCTATTAAAATTGCTTTGATTTTAATATACTGTTTTAAAAGTATAGCTAATCCTTTAACTGTTAGTTTAACAACTTGCATTATTACTTAGCATTTTAGTGCTATTTATGAAAATTAGATCTAGGCGAATGATATGTGAATGATTGTGTTAGAATATATGTTAGAGATTTCACTAAATTATTTTCATTAGTTTGCTATTTTAAGTTAAATTTGACTTTTTCATGAAATCTTTGAAAAAGACTTAACTCACACATAATCAATTCAGTTTGATTTAGAAATCTTTTTTCAGTCGACACTGTAATTATAGCACTTTTCAAATCCAAGTAACAATGCTTATTGTTTTTTATTAAAAAAAAATCATAAACATATCATTAAATTAACTAAAATTAAACTTTTTAAATTCGATATGTTTTTGTGTCTTTTCTAAAATGCCAGCACAAATAAATTTTTTAACGCTTGGTATACATTGTAATACTTGAACATAGATTCTTAGAATTTGAATACGAAAAAAAAAAAAGCATATCTTTCTCTTTCTTATAAAATGATTATAATAATTTATTAACACAAATCTTAGTCAAAATAGTATATTAATTATATATATATATGACAAATATATGGTGTATATTTCTTTTGAGGAATGTACAGAAGTATGAAAGTGCCATTTGTACATATTTTTAAAACTAAGCAATTCAAATTACCTTTTTATTTCTTGCTCTGTTTTTTGTAATTGTTTTGTTTTTAAAGTTTATATGATATGTATGTATTCTAAAAATAATGGATGAAACATGATTGCTGGCAATCAATAGGTAATATATACTTGAGTTTTATAAATATGTTTTTACTGTTCCTTTATTCATGAAAGCTTGCTGATTTTTGGATTATCTATTTATATTATCATTTCCTTACTTTTGGTTACTTAAACTGTAGAGGGGATGTAAATTTAAAAGTACTGTTAAGACAAAAATTATATACCTTATATTTCTGGACATATGTTGAGAATTTTTGCAAACATTGTAGAAAGTTAAAAAAAGGAGAGTCCTTTCAACTAACTTCAAAAATTTTTTCTTGCATTGCATCTACATTTTGTGAATTTTTTCAAATAAAACCAAATTAATTCAGGGTTCCCACTCAATTTCAGAAAAAAAACTCCCTGACTTTTCCAGATATTCTAGGTAAATTTCAATGAAAATTGAGACCATATTTTCATCAGAAAACTTATTCTTTTATTTGTAATGTGAAATATTAGAATTGCTGTGTAAAAAAAATATTAAATGAGGTTGGGAACATTTCAGTTTAATTAAAATGTGAAATTTTTGCAACATGTAACAGATGTTAGAATTATTTAACTCGAATCTATATAACAGATTACTGTTACTGACAATTTTAAGACTGGTTATTTTCCAGATATGATGTAGGAATATTCCAGATTTTTGTAAAAAATTTGCTACTTTCCCTGACTATCCCCTGATTTTTGAAATTAAAATTCCCTGGCACATGGGAACCCTGTAATTTAAAACCGTATTTTTTATAGTAAATTTCTTCTTTCATAACAATTGTTAATATAGGGCGAAGAGCAACATGCTAGAATAAATATATATATTTTTGAAAAGGCATTTTCCATAAGGTGTTTCTGTGTTATTTAATAGAAACAATACTAATGTATACATAATTTTGTCTGAACATTACTAGATTAATTTGGTATTATTAGGTCGGTACCAAAATTGGCTTACAATTTAATGGAATATTTGTGCCAGAATGCCCTTTTTCTCCATAGTTAGCATTAGTGTATCAGTCTATTATACACAATTCTTTTGGGGTGAAATTTTTGCGGTTACTGGCTAATTAATAACAGATCACTACGGCTTCAAGTGTTCATAAACACACTGTGTCCATTAAATGCCAAAGCCAGTTTCCCTAACTATTAGTTTTTTCAATTTAATGAATTACTTTGTGATTTCCAGTTTCAGCAAGCTTTCATGTATCTGTTAAAGTTTTATGTTTAAGCTGAAATTGTATGTTCTTGAATTCTGTGGAAAAAAATTGTGTTAGAATGTAAACACAAATAGAATATTTCAGTGCAATTAAAGAGTGAAGTGTGTGTGTACATAAATAGATTTAACATAATCTGTAAAGTTTTTCGAAAGATACGATATCACTGCTATTTTGATTGGAATGGATGATGAAGCTTAAGTTGTTTGAGATATATATAATTTGATGTTGGACTATTTAAATTAGTTTTCATGTATGATTTGTTGCTGTTTCTTGCTCTGTATTGAACTTGTGCAAAACACAGTTGTGTATTTTAGCTTTTTCATCAATATTGATAACAAAAATTTATGAAAACTATTTTAGGTGAATTCATATAATTTAAGTATAGCTACTGTAAAACATGCTTTAATAATTATTCGTTTTTGAATAAAATTTAAAGTGAGCAGTTCGTTTATATTCTTTTGTTAGCATGGCTGAACTTTTAGTAAGAAGTTTGCAAACATTACACATAGTTTATATTCAGCTAGTGCATTCATTCTGAGCAGTTCTCATACAGCAAGTAGATCTAATATAGAGTGGAAGCCAAGATGAAATCTGCTTAATTTATTAGGCCAAATAAACATAAACTAAGTAATAATGATTAGAGCAGGGTTCGGAGAGTTAACTTAATATTTTTAGAAACCTGCAAAAACAATGCATTATTTAATATTTTGGTCATTTTTATTAAATTATCAGAACAAAATGTCAGTGGAAAAAAAAAACTAATATAAATTTTATTTAAAGTTTGCATTAATATTCAATTTTAAAAAAAATATAACTTTTTTCATTTTCAGCATAAGCTTCAGACCTGTGAGTTCACCTTACTAACATGAAATCTAATTTTAAGATTATAATTTTATTAATTATAATTAATATTTTTAAAAAGATTAGTGCTCCTTTGGTTAGTACATCGGCATTTCAATCTATAATAATTTAAATTTCGGAGTTTGGTACTCAAAATTAGTGTTAAAATGTATACATTATATTGCGAGATGGCTACCACAGTCTCGTTTCTAAGAACCCAGTACAAAATTGAGAAAATTATTTCGTGAGAAAATAAATATTTTTTAAAATTTAAGTAAGATGCATAAACACTAATTTTCTTACTTCTAAATGCGCCAGATATTGTGTTAGTAAAATAGCTTGAAGTGTCAACAAATATTAAAAAGACCTTGCACAACTACAGTTCTGTGCTTTGAGAATGGTTACTTTATATTGCAGAACGAAATAATGCAACTCACTCTGAAAACCAGCAAGTTTAAAAGAAGGACAACACAAGTGTATAAGTTTTCAATCAAACTGATGGTTTTAATTGCATGCGATTTCTATAGTGCTATTTACAATGATACAGTCAGCAATTTTTTTTCTCTTTTTATAAGTAAATACAAAACATTTACAGCAGAGCCTCGCAATATGCCAAGTTGCTCATACAACATGCAACAGCGAGGTTCTTCACAACACAGGATACCTGTAGAATCAGTCTTCAATCCTCCACAAAGGAAAAATACAACAGATGCTTCACAATGTATTCAGTACAGAGAACATTAAAAAGTAGAGTTAAAAATTCATGAGGGATTAGAGCCCATTGAAGAAAAAGATTTAACAGCAAAATTCCTGTTATTTAGCTATACCACATCCTCTTTCAATGTACCACACGAATTTCACACAAATATTTAAAAAATCTATGTGGACAGCAATTAGATTTTGCCTCAACAGAAAAGAGGAGCACTCACTTTTCATAAGCAGGTAGCTAGAAAATCCACTAAACAATTTTTACTATAACAGCGAAAAATACTTAAAACACACGCTTTTCTTTACAGCTAGGAAAGATCCTAAGGAACTTTTTTTTTCTTCATAAATATTTCTTTTGCTTAATTACAAGTTATGATCGATTGATAGAACATGTTTGTTTATTTATCAATGGTTCATGTATTTTGTGATATATATTCTTAAACGTAAATGCAAATAGACCAGTGTGATAAATTTTTTAAAACTAGTTTTATATAGTAAGCCAAATCTAAAGAATTCTTAGGACTAACCTTAGTGTAAGGAGACATTGGAAATACTACTGCCACATTTATATCATCGAACAGAATTTTTTTTTTTCAAAACCATATTAATCTGCTTCTTAAAATAGATAAATGAAAAATAAAAAAACTTATTTCAATTCACATAATTAATAGCTGATAAATTCCTATTCTCTTAACTCTCAAGTATTCTGCTTAAAACAACTTATTTTCTATAAGTCTAGATGCTGAAAAAGGCGAAGGGAAAAAAAACTTAGCTAATACCAACTTTCTTTTTTTAACAAAAGAAATTAAAAATTAACTTCGCATATAAAGAGGCAATTGAATTAAAAACATGAAATAATACAAAAGGGAAAAAAATTGTCCTAAACCATAACCAACTTAACTTTAAAAACATCCAACTAAATTCAATCACGTTATAAAATTTTGACGATGGTTTTGAAACTGAGCTTGAAACATAACATACACATAAAAGAAAATGTTCATAGAAATTTTAAGTTTTTACACATAAATAATTGTTATATGAATATGAATTTAGTTTATCACAGTAATATGAGAATAGTTTAAAGAATGGTTAACGAACAAAAACAACGATAATGGATGAAGGAAAACAAAACTTTCTGAATATATTTTAGCCAATATAAATTTTATTTTTAGTTCAGAGCATGATTAAAAAATAAAGACAAGATCAAAAAGAATTTTTTTTTTGTTTTTAAATAATGAAACCTCAGTAGTTTACCTTTAGAGAAAATTGACTCAGAATAACAAGACTGAATTGTTGTCTAATTAAACAATAGCATCTATTGGAAAAATTTTTAAAAGCTATTTAATAAAAAAAAATTAATGAAGTATGCCTAAATGAAATTAAGTTTGTAGTACAACAGTGCACTAGTAAAAATTAAATTTATAAATAAGAACCATAGCTATTTATTGAATACAGTAGAATCTCAATTTTCTGCAGCAATTAAAAAATTCTTAAATCTAAATTATTTAATAGTGTTACAGTATTTTTTTTATATAATTTTTTAAAGACTTACGTTTTTCTATGAAATAGCTATCAAAATATTTTGAAATTCATTTACTAGATAGTAATATTCCTTTGCTGTATAAACCTAGAGAATGCAGCAGAACAGCAATTTTCTGAAATAACTGAGACCTACTTCAAAAATTAAAATTATTGGATTATAGAGGCAACATTAGAAATGAACTATCTAAACAAACTTCACTAATGATACAGGAAAAATGAGTGAAACAACAAAACACTAATTTTTAGATCCGTTTAACAAAACTTAAGCAACCGATTTCACCAACAAAACATAAGTCACACACATAAAAAGATTAATTCTCAGTCGTTATGCAGATGAGTTTTTTGCTGTAATATCTCGCATACTGAAATTTGAGAGGGGGGGAACTGTTTGAATGTTGCTTAGAATACCAATGGGATCAATATAAGGTATAGCATGCTCCAAGCAGGTTCACACAGCACAAATTCGCACCTGCAACTCATCTTGGAGCTAATGCTAGTTAGTGCAATACTTTGTACACATGAATTAAACAGACCAGGTGAAATTAGCCACTGAGGTTTCACTATATTTCAGAGTATAAAGAGATCTAAAATTTCAGAACAATTATAAAACAAACACTTTCGAGATTTCAGACAGTAATTAAAATCTTTTGGTTGTAGACAATTAGAGGGAATCTGCACTTAGCCACACATCAATCACAGAAAAGTATTTACGAATTGCACACATTCCCTGAAATTCTCCAGTTAATTACAACAAAGAGTAAAACATCTACCACATGAACTACAAGAAAATCGGTGCCAGGCTAAGTACTCAATGTATTGTAGCTTTTTTTGAATGAATATTGAACTAATGGAAATTACACGTGAAAACATTGATTACTTATGTGACACTTATTTATTTCGTAGTTATTTTAATTCACGAAAACAGCTAATGAAATATGTAGCACCTTTAGATCTGATACATCTGAATTGTACTGATTTTGCACAAGGGTTGATAAATTACAGAAAAGGTGGAACAGAGAAGGAAAAAAAAATTAAGTATCACAAATATTTTACTTGTACAACACTAGCAAGGGGACTTATCATATCCATCCTAGATTGCTTATTATTTACTAAAAGATTTAAAAACAAATGCAAGGCTAGTTATTTACAAGGTTTTCTTTTATACAGGGCAATCTTAATTGTTTTTTTTTATAAAAAAAACTATATACATAACTTACAAAAATACAAAATATACAATATATGTGAGCTGCTCTGTTGAAGTTTTTAACACACTATTACCGATTATAGGTAATTCTCACACACCATACATAGAACTTTAAGTCTTGCACAACAATGTACACACTTAATCTAAAAAAATTCAAAATTAATGAAGAGGACATATAAGCAAGAGCTTAGTGACAAAATTTATAGATCAAGAGACTGGACTTATAAGCAAGAATTTTAAAGCTATAGATGTGCATGAAAAGACCGATTAATGCAAATTACACAAATGATGAAATGGGCTTTATAAAAATGATATATGGGCATGTATTTAGGTAGGTAAGCATAAGTAAAAGAACAAAGAAATTATCAAAATCATAATATTCGAAAATCAATTAGATTTTTGTATTCTAAACTGGAAAAATATCCAATAAGACAGCTGGAAATTTAGAAAAAAACTGTACACGAAAAGTTAATATAAAAATTACCACTAAGTTATAAAAAACTTTTAACAGAACACTTTCATTATGGTTTGATCAAAAATGAGTTTGTAAATTATATGAGTATATAATCAAATTGAGCTTTACAAAATAAAATATATAATATAGGTGTAACATTGAATAAAACTTATAACTCACAATTATTTATAATGCTTTTGAAGTTATGCTATAACACCAAATCACTATTGCAATTAAAAAAAAAAATAGCAATAAAATCACTACTATAACAGAAGAACTTTAAATTTAAGAGCAACAGGGCTCTTTTTCTAAAAAATTAACAGATCATTTAAATAATCTAGAACACCTTATTTATAAAAGTCAACAGTTCAAAAGCAGGGCATAGAAGGAATAACATGTTACACGGTACAAATATGTCTTAGTACAGATAAATACAGATTTGTTGCAATTTTAATTGGGATTCTGAATATTATTTTAGCAATAATTATTTACTTAAGCAAAACTTTTCAACTACCATAGAAAAGAGGTAATATTCAACATAATATAATTAAAATATGGACCATATACCCCGGTGTTCGATTACGAGATAGCAAATTTTTAGTATGTTGTGTTTATAAGTAAATCACTAAAAAAAAATTTTTTTTTTGAAATAAAAAAAAAAACATACATTTTCACAAGTTTAAAATATTTATACTGTATAATATTGATTAAATTCTTAACTTTTCTTGTTCTGAGTGTAATTTAAAATATTGTTTCTTAAAAAAAACTTTCATACGTAAAGAAAGATGAGAAAAATATAAAATTGCATACATAAAAAATAGCTTTTGAAAGGAGTAAATTGATAGAGTTACTTGTATCTTTTAAAATTGTTTATAATGCATGGATTGCGTATAAGTTGCTCCACTGATTTCCAAAATTTTTTTTGGAGGTTCAAAAAATCAACCAGGATATACAGTGAATAAAATTTGGTTCTTGTATACATAAATATAAATGTACTATAAAAAGACATTCTAAATTGATAGACTTACTCAATAGATGTATTAATATATAAAAAACCTCAAAAGCAAACAATACTACTTGCATAACAAAAAATGCTAACCTGGAATTATATTTCTAGAAGCCTAATACACAGAGTTATGTAATAGAAAATATGCAATTTGTGAATGGTACAAAAAAGAAAGAGACAGAAAAAGATTGTTAGAATACATAACAAAAAATACTTAAATTTATTAAAATAAATTTAACTTAAGGTACATTAAAAAATATTCTACATTGGCAATAATATTTGGCAAATAAGAATAACACCGGAACGTTTTTAAAACTTGATTAAAGACACCAAAGTATGAAAAGATAAATAACGATATGTTCAAATGAAATTCAAACGCGTCTATTGATTAAATGGTCTCACTCTACAAAAGCAGTAAACTGGAAATCCAGCTTTGCAACAATTGGTCTGAAATACCCAAAGACTGACAAGTACGACTATTTACAAAACTGTACACAAATTAATTTAAATCAAGGTCCTTTTTTTGTATCATACATCCACAAATATCACAAAAGGCACCACTCTTAGAAAGTGATGGAAATTTAAAACAAGATTTTATTTACATAGATACACTTATTTACATATACACAAGCCACAGATCTGTATAGCTAAACAAACATGTTTCTAGATATTACAATGATACAAGTAGTAGTTTTTATTATTTTTTTTCCCTTCTTGATAGATTGACACGTGTTGGATGTAGTAGTTGTGTGAGAATCCTGAGCAGTGTTCTAGAAATTTATGTTCCAACCACATTGTGAAGCATCGAACGTGAAGAGGAAGGAGAGCTAGCAGTTTCTAGACGTGTTTGACGAAATAGTACACGAAACTTCACCACGAACCATAACTTTATCCATTTTAGACAAGCTAACTAAGTGTCATGTCACATCCATGGAGACACCACTATCACTAGTCACCTTGTCTACTTTCACTTTATTTAGGAATAATTCTTGCTTAAGCCTGAAAAAACACACCAAAATTAGTGATTTACTAGAAATCTTTGTCTCAATGCTGACAATGGATTGAAATGACCCAATCAATAATGTAGAACGGAATATGTAGTATCAGAACAAAAAACATATGTGAATGCGATAATCACTATTTAGTTGTCACAATAAAAAGTTAAATGATTTCAATATATCTTATTAGTAGGGGTGCACAATCTGCCCCAAGCCAACTCTCGATGTGCGGCCTACGGAAGTAATCTGAATAAAATGAAAAATATAAAAAAAAAATTTTGAAAAATAAAAATTTTCGAAAATTGGAAATAAATTTTAGTTTTTGAAGCACCCAATCTCACTCAATGCACAGGGTATCTGCTACATTTTAGATTTTCAAACTCATGCCTTTCCATGACGAATTCCAAGAATTTTTTATGACATAATGCATTATAGTAACATTGCATTATAATAACATTGATTGAAATGATAGGTATAACCAAAACTATTATACTCTGCATCTTCATTATATTTATACATTAATTTTAAGTTTAAAAAAACAGAGCAAAGAAAGAGTTGAAGCAATAAAATAGCTGGAAAAAAAATACAAAAGCAGATATTTTTCTTGTTCATCTGTAAGAAAAGAAATACTCCAGATTTTTCTATTCTCATTCCAGAATTTAAAAAAATTCGCCAATGACTGGCTTGCTTCAGCTAGAATTTTAAATTGATAAAATAAAAAAATAAAAAATAACAAAAATTCTGAAATCACAGAAGTTTAGAAGATAATTCGCTTTAGAAATTATGATTTTCTTTCATTTTTTGAAGGAACATCATAATTTTTTAAGAACAAGATAAAAACAAATAAAATGTAATTTAAATAAGCTCAATTTTATACTTCTCAGCCACGAGAAGCAGTATACATAGCTGCCAACATGGATAGGAAAAAATTCAGTAGATTTTAAGGAATATCATAACTTTAATGGTAATTAGTTGCAGAATGTACGAAATATTTTACATTTAGGGAATTTTATAGCCATCAAAAAAGAAAAACTGCAATATTATCAAGCTATTATTGAAATTGAATAAACTTGAAATGCTATGTATTTTGTTTACTCATAATTTTCAATAGTACTAGGCATTTAATTCATCAAAGACAGTTAAGACTTTTTATTTAATAAAAAAGGGAGTTCTGAATTTAAAAAAACTGAACATCATAGAACAAAAAAAGTTTTAAACTGATTTTTATAATTGAGGCTTGCTTCATTATGTATCAGTTATATGTATATTTAAATATTCAAGCAAACAATAATCAGTGCATAAAAGCTTCATAGGGAATTTTTTTAGGAAATTTACTCAATTTTAGGGAACTTTCTAAAAACCAGTAGACTAGGTGAAACTAGTAAAATCCAGTAGTTTACTGGAAAATCCAGGCAGCTATGAGTATATATGGATACCTGTGGTCCAATGCCGAAAACTTTGAAAGAAGAATAGGTACTTTTTGACAATTATAGACTATTACAGTTGTGCAGTAATTTTACACCTTATGAGGAATAAAACTGATGCAATTGGGAAATTCAAGAACTATAATCTAAAATTAAAATTTCTGCCCTGAAGATGTTATTAGGAGAAAGGAGAATCAAATTGCGTGATGACAGAGCATTTGGTTACCTTCACAGCCGCAGAATAGGATACGTCTGGACGTGGGGTTCGGCAGTTACTATTCGGTGTGCCTCATCGAAAGTCAGATTTATCAAAACTTGGACTGTATCCTCAAGTCCTGCGACAATTTTGAACAATTCCTGGAGAAAGTCGTGTGGTCCACCTTGCTGTTGACGCAAAGGGGCGATAACTTACATTTTCGTATCGGCATGGGCAGGGATAGAACAGCGAGCACAGATGGGCATGCTTCGGCAAGAAGATTTTGAATGTCCAAACCTTTGACAACTCAAAGGATTTGGCGCATATGGTCTAACAGGGCAGTTATACCAGCAGGGACAGCAGCCGAAATTTTCAGACAATAGTAAGAAAAGTAGGAGGATTTAAAAAAAAAATTGGAAAAAATAGGAGTGTTGTAAAACAAATAAAAAATTCATTTAAAGTAATTTTTATGAATTAATCAAAAACATCTATTTCCCCACATAGTCAATATAAATTTTAAAAACACTAATTAAAATTTAAATTTCTGAAACAATAATTATGACGCATAAGTAGTTTGTATATATATATTTCAATAAAATTCAGCTGTGAAATTTTTTTTGTCACCAAATTTGCATTTTATAAATAAAATATTCTTATATAAAAAACTATTATTTTATAAAATTTAAAAATACATTCATTTTATACATAATTTTTTAAAGAGTTATTTTGGCAAAGGAATTCTAATACTAGTTCGGCAAAGAAATTCTTTTCGTGAAAAAAAAGATTTTATTAATGTTCTATCATTTATTGAATTTTACATTTATTATTTATTTACAACTATTATTAACCCTGTGACAGAATTTTTTCTGACTTTCTAGAAGATACTTTTGATAACACATATGCAAGTTACTAATTTAATGTAATAGAAACGTTGAGTTAAAAAAAAACAAACTTATTTGGATAAAATAAAATTGTATATTTTTTAAAACTGGAATTTATTCTAATAATATGGGCAATATTCTTGCAATTTGTAGGGGGGGGGGAACGCATGAATTATTACCTTTTTCGCATTCTGTAAATTATCAACACATTAAAAAAGAATTTAAAAAATTATGAAATCCATAATAGTAACTTCTGAGAGAGAAAAATAGACGGTGAAGTTACGCGAATCGGACTTCGTTGTAATAAATAATATCGTAGTAAAAATATCCCCCTTTAAAAACTAAGTGGAAATCAATAGCAATAATTGCAACAACTAAAAAATTGATAGAATCGTGACAATAAAAATTAAATATTCAAATGTGTGATTCGAATTTCCCATATTTTCAGAAATATATTGGGATATTTAAAAAACCCAAGATAATCAATAATAATCATTGTAAAAACGCAACCGAAAACACATAATGGATTAATGATAATCTGCATAAATTCAACCCATCAAAAAGTTATTATAGTACAGAACCCGCAGAAAACCAGAACGAAATTGGATAAATTTTCCAGTCTTTTTTTTTTAAATGTTTTTTTCCTCATAAGATTTTAGGATTTTTCTTTCTTTTTTGAAAGATGTTTACCTTACCATCAGTTTGGAAATAATTATTAGTGTATTACTTAATCGTTTTTTCCTCTTCTTAAGATTATTTCCAAATATATTATTATTTTTAGTTGGATTTAACAATAAAAAAAACGGCTTTTTGTAGCGATTCAGAAAACCGGAAAAATCAGTTATCCGGAATAGCGATGGTCCCGATCGTTCCGGATAATCGGTTCCCTACTGTACTTAAATATGAGATTCGAATTTCATGTGTAGAAATAAAATTAAATGATAAATAATCAGGATTTTAAAAACCGGTAGCACTAGCAATAATAATAAATTAAAAAACGAAAAAACTATGCCGAAAAATTGGAAGAAAAAAAAGACTGATGAGATCGTCACATTAAAAATAATTAAACAATTAAGTAATTTGAGTTTTGCGATTGGTGATAAGTAAACTGAGTTTCTTTCTATTGCATAAAAAAACATTGGGATTTGTTTTCTATAAAGTGGGACAATTCCCAGTAATAACTGCCTAAAAAACAACTGAAACATGCACGAATTAACGAGGATATCGGCGCAAACCGAGAGTGTCAAAAAGAGCGCAATTTTAACTTTTAGTGTACCATAATAATATTAATATTTAAAAAAAGAAATAAATAAATAAAACGAGTAAAAATTCGTAGCAATTATTGGCCAAAATATATGCACTGCATATATTTAGGTTGGAATAAACACATAGATTACTTTGCAACAAATCTGAAATTGTAACAAATTGTAAATCTCCACCCCATTTAATGGTAAATCTCCACTCAGTTAAATGTTATTTAAACGTACAATATGGAGTTCCTAATGTATAAAAAAAGAACATAATTTCCAGAGCAAACTATCTTTTTAACCCGGACGCTTTCAGTTTTTTCTTTTTCAATATTATCTAATTGAAATTCTAGCTGAAGCCAGTCATTATCAAATTTTTTTCCCCTTCTCAAATAAGAATAGAAAAATCATGAGCATTTCTTTCTCCTTTGATGGGCAAGAAAACCAAAATACTTCATTCTTTATTTTTCCTAATTCTTAAATAAGAAGAGAAAAATCACGAGCATTTCCTTCCGATCACGAATAAGGCATCTTTCGAATATAATTCTGAGGAGAAAAATAAATACTTTCGAAAATTTCACCAGAAATTTAATTATTATTATTATTTTTTTTTTTTTAACTTTCCAAAGGAAAAATCTCTTCATATAAACTCTCTAACATTCTGCGACAATATTACAGTAATTCTACCTTTTTGGCTGACGCCAGTAAGAAGCAGAGTTTGGGACCGAAAATGATCGCGCTCCTGTGAGCCTGTTTAGCTATCCTCATGCACTGGTTCCCATTTTGCACCACATTCCAGGAGGATTTCACTAGCCTCCGTGTCGGGTGAGCTGCATTTCACCTCAAACTAGAATGAAATGCACTGCACTCCTGCCCTCCTGCACTGGCTCCCATTTGCACCAAGTTCAGGAGGATTTCACTAGCCTTTTGTACAGATGGTCTAGGGTCATCCGGCCGACCATACCATCACCGAAACCCTAGTACCTTCCTTTTACATGGCGCGAAGCCAAATTATTCCTCAAAAAAATATTTTTAAGCATTTTTAGAAATATCATAACTAAGCAGGGTTGGAAAGTTTTTGACAATTGACGGTTTTATCTTGTTTCAACCATCATGCCAAAAGGAAAAAAAATCTTTGGCATTGTTTTTGATAATTGTGTCAAAAATCATGAAGTTTTGAATCAAGTAAAACGAATGGCATTTTCATACGCTACGGACTTACAATACGCCAAAATAGATTGGGGTTGAATTAACTGTGAAAAAGGCTGAATAGAATAATGTGAGCTGTGTCTTTTTACATAATTCATAGCGAAAATCAACACGGTAAAGGAAAAATTTCATTTTGAAAAGGGGAAAATTAAACACTTTTAAAAAACTAGAATCGAAAATAAGCACCTTTAAAAAACGATAAGCACCCTGTTTTATACAGTGAACAATAGGCCACACTTTGACCTATGAACACTTGGAAAGGCCGCATCTGAACCGCTCTTGGCACACTGGCTTTAGCCACCATTCAGAATTTGTACTAGTGCCCGGCAGGCGCGATGAGGACATAGCCAGTTATGCCTGCCCATATGTTTGTACAGGTAGACAGAGTAATAGTTTGGTTTTCAGATGAGAGTTGAACTAACAAGTCATCTAAATGTAATTTCTTAAATGACGCTACTTCTCCTAGTATAGAAAGAAGAGCCTTATGTATCAAAAATGGAAACGCTTTGCTGAATGACATATTAGGTACTGCCGGATTTGTCAGAAGACAACTATCAAGAAATACAGAGCATGTTCAAATGGCGCTTCGCTGTTTTTGTTTTAGCGTGCGGAACTGATTTGGTACTAGTGAACTGATATGCGGATACTAGTTCATTTTCAGCCATAGAAAAATAAACCAACTTCAGCTATCAGTGGCACCACCCATCACAGAGTCCAACTACGGAGATGCAAGTAACAGACTGGTTCTGATACCAATCAGTCACTTAAACACCAATGTTGACCAATAGTTATACACTTGCGAGCCACTCCTGAAGCAGCCCCCATCCATAACGATGTGCCCAGTAAGTGACCCCAGGCTTGACCCTACTAGCCAACAGATGTTCATGACTAGCAGATTCATGCACGCAGGCCAATCAGGGTTTTCGCTACGGTAGCTTTTTTCGCAAAATGCGAAAAGACCCCTCAAAAATGCTAAAATTCAACAAAGCATTTTCGCATTTTTGCTAAAGGATTTTACTAAATTCCATTTAAAAAAAAGCTTCCACGAAAAACCATGAGGCTAACATCCATGAAAAAAACTTGATCAAACAAGGAGAAAAAATCTAAATATCTTTCGCAAGAAGAACCATGACGCTAGCGTTCACGAAAAAAACGTGATCAGACGTGATCGTGAAACGTGTTATAGAGTATTGTGCAACAATACCAATGCACACTGTTGACTGTGAAAGGGGCTTTAGCTGCCTTAATTTGATTAAAACTAATATTCGAAACAGGTTGTTAATCAACCATGTAAACAATTTGTTAATGATTAATATTGAGGGCCCTGAAAGTGCATTTAACTTTCAAGAAGCATTTGTAAAATGGGCAAACATGAAAGAAAGGAAGATTGTTAATTATAAACCAAAATGTTTTGATAAATAATAAATGTGTTTTTTTTTTTTTTGTTATAGGTATTCCTTTTGATATTCTTGTACATTAAGCTATTCTTTGTCAGATAACTTACAGTACTTGTTTGATATAAAGTAATTTTATAAGCCTAATGGCATTTTAGCATTTTGCTAAAACTTTTTTTCAGATTTTAGCTTTTTCGCTAATGAATTTTTAGACTCAGCTTAAACCCTGAGGCCAATATGCATCTCCTGTTTACCTGAAGCACTGGCTAAACCAGTGTGTTGGGGTACCAAGATGCCCATCAACTACCGGGATCCCCTTTTCCAGGGAACATGTGGGTGGTCTTCTCCCACCAGAGTCCCATACAATAGGTTGGCAATCTAACACAAACGAAAAGCCCTCACCAGTATATTTGACAAAAAAGGGGAAAGTAGGACAGTAAAACGAAGGGAGGACAGATCACTAGGATACTCCGGGGATGTGTTTACCAAAAGATAAACATCATAATGGGTAGAAGAAAGTGGGTGTTTCAGTAGTTATGTTCTGCTATATACATATATAGAATTATTGCATCAAAAGGGGAATACTCGGGCACGCAATATGAATTTTCTGCACCTTAAGAATGGGATTTTAAAAATGCGAAAATCAACAGCAATAAGTGCAACAACAAAAAAAGATTGGATTTAGCGCAAATTATGTGCTTACATTACATTTCAGAATTTTAAGATGGTATCAACGCAAATCAAGTTCATCAAAAAGTGATTACTCAAATGTGCAATTCAAACTCTTGTGTCGAAATAAAACCGTAAGTTTATAAACCATAAGAAAATAAATTGCCTTAACCGCAAAAGGAAAAAGTCTAAATATGGATTTTTGATGGTATCGAGCTTGTTGCAAACTGATTATTAAATGAGTAACTTGGTGTGATATAACATTAAAATTTTTTTTGATTTAATTGCATTCAAATAAAAAAGGGGGCAAATATTACATTGATTAAATAATTCTTCTGTTACAAATTCGAATCTGCAACAAAATTTCTATTCATTAAACAATAAGCTTAAGAAAAAAGTGAAAAGATAAAAAAAAAATTTCCTAACGACTTGATCTTTGAAATGTTTGCCCTTTTGGAATTACTTTTTAGATTATCCATTTTATACTTGCGTTTGCCTCTAGTTCATTAATTCTAGATGAAGTTTTTCTTGCTGATAGGGACGGAATAAATGTCTTATCAGATTTAGCTTAAGTTAAGATTAATTTAAACTTTAGACTAGCAGAATTCAGAGAAGCTTTTGCTAGAGTATAAATTCTTTCGCAGGTCTTCACATTTGTAGAATCCTGCGAATTAGAGGAAGAATTACATGCCCAATTGGAAAAAATCATTTACAAAAAAATAAAAACATTTAGACACACACAAAAAAGGTAATGAGACATCATATGAATAAAATACTATAAACTTGAAGAGTAATGCTGTACTACTAACGACTTAACATTATTTAACACAACCGAGCAAAATGAATTATAGACGACTGTGTTGAATATTTGTGTACCGTGTTTTTGGTGAGTTTTCTAGTAAAAATTTCTTATAGAATAAAGTCATTCTGAAATAAAAATGGGACAATAAATAAATTATAACTTTCTGGATAGTTGTTTAGTTTTATAAATCAGTCGATTCTTCCTAATCTATTTTATAAAGAGAATTTTGCACTAAAATTGTTGACTTTTTTGTATTTTGTTTTGATTCTCTTTTTTGGACTTGCATTAATTTAACTAACTTTTGGCCCAAATAAAACAATTGTGTATTAATATATTGCCAATGGTAAGGTCTCTTGACTCAATATTAACAAAACCTTTAGATATAAAATTTCATCTCAATTTCAACATCCACATCATTGATATTTATATTTCCTACCTGCCAATATTGGAGAAATAAAATAACGGAAATTTTATAGGTGACATTTTTTGGGCTAAAAATAAAGTTTTGATACATCATGCATAACCATGTAAGTCAAAATTGGAAATAATAAAAGAACATTTAGTGAAGTAAAAAATATTTATATATAAATCTTAATCAAAAGATATTTTAAACCATTATTTATAATTAACTTAAACTACAAACACTCAACATACTGCAGTACTGGCAATATCCAATTTGCTGAGGAATAAGAGAAGTATTTTAGTCACCAGAGGCTATCTTATCGCCATGTTTTTTTTTAAAAAAAATTTCAGCAGCAAATACAGAGAAATTTGAGTAAACAGGAGATAGTGTCATAAAATACGGGAGTTTTCGCTAAAAAAACAGGAGACTTGGCAGGTATGGCATTTGTTCGGATTTTGAAAATCTTCACACTTAAAAAATTATTTTTTTACTCTTCTAATTCATTTGAACAATCCTTCTCAGTTAAAAATAACAATATCTGACAATAAATAAAACACAGATAAGTGTCATTTCTCCCGAGGTCAGTCAGTGCTTGACCAAGCCTCAATGTCCTTTTGAAATCTATTAATTTCTGTTAAAAATATCCAATATACTTCTGATTTGCATTTAAAACTGTTTATGTATGCAAAACCATTATTTATGAACTAAAATGCCAAGAGGAACATGCAATATAAGAGAAGATTTTCTTTTTTTTTGCTTTTAAGAACATGTTCAACCATGCGATTTTTTTTTTAATCAATATATTGAATAAAATGAAATATTTACCTGGATTCATTTCCATTTTGTTCAAAGTTGGTGAACCTTAGAGCTGTCTGCGGAGAAGAGCTAAAGGTTTTAGAATTTATCACATGGATATTGTCACTAGAATGGCTTGCAGCTCCACCTCCAACATCAATGGACGGTAAACAGGAGTTTACATTTTGGATTGAATTTTGAGGAAGGGTGGAAACAGATTCTAAGCTTGGGCTTAAAATCTCCTTTCTATGCCTTTCTGATGATGAGATGCAATCGTTGATGTTACCATCTCCTTCTGCAACAAGGAAAAAATACAAATCATTCACAAAATACAAATATCTGTGGGCCAATACATATTGTTATAAACATCTGCTTAACATGACAACCTTTGAAAGGAAATCAACTCTTAAAAAAGGCCAAGTTATTGATGTGTACTAGGTATATTGATTGTTAATTCATAATTCAAGCTTGAAGGAAGCATTTGTTAAGAGGCCACTTATGGGAGAAATCTTTCCCCACAAATTCTCTAAATGAGTAATTTAAAATAAAGTACCTACATCTGCATGTCATTTTCTTTTTAAAAATATTAAAATGCAAACAAATGCTTGGGATTATAAAGGGGGGAATTTTTCTCTTAACTTTAAATGGAAGTAAAAAAGAATTTACTTTTAAGAGTTTCTGAGAAGATGGATGCCAAGTTAGGATGCAAATCAGGGGCAGCTGAAATCAAACCAGGGTGAAGTTAAAAAATATATATATTGTGTAAAGGAAGTACTTCAGGAGAAATTAACAGAACTTAGTAGAAGAATTTACTGAAATAAAAAAATTGGTAAAATTGAAAAATATTTTGATAAGAAATCTGATTTGAAAATCATATGTCTGGAAAAAGACACCAGCATCCAAGTCAGTTACTTCAGAAAATAAATTAATGTTCTCGACATTTTCAGCTGTTACCAAACCATCCACTTTTGGAGGAAAATCATTTTGGCAGGTGTACAAAATAGAACTCTTCATTCACCGATGCTAATTGATAGGACTCAATGGGCAAGGATTTCCATCCTGCGGCTGCTTTACGAGGAAATGTAGCAAACATCTTGGGAATGCCTACAGAAGAACAATGCAATGATTTTAAAGTAATTGGAACTACGTTTTAGCAAAAAAGGCTCCCGAGAAAGCAGGCGCCTGCAATTGAAGCCTTGCTATCAACAAGCATGTGAAAGCCTCGGAGAGCTGGCCACTGATATTCAAAGATTGTTGCATTTAACTTTTTCGGATTGCCCTCCTAAAGTACGTCAAGATTTAGCAATTTAACACTTCATAGACAGTGTGAGGGATCTATAAAGAAAGAAGGCTTATAATGAAGGATATAGGATCCGCCACTCGGCCAGAGAAGTTTCAGCCTGATTTGAATGCTGACCTGAAGAAACTGCAGGAAAGTATCTTACGAGAGATCAACAGTTTAAGAAACACCAGCCATCAAATCCTGTGTTGCACCAAGTTACGGTTTTAAGGACATCAAAACCCGAACCATGGAGAGATGAAGGGGAAAAAAGAGAAGCCTAATAGGAAGATCCTGATGAGACCTATCCTTGAAATAAAGGAATATTTGAATATAAGACCAATCTGGCAGAAGTTACAGCCCAGCTACTGAACAGTATTAGGCTCAATGGGACTCACTCTATATAAGAAATGGCATGTTGTATAGAAAATGGGAATCTAATGACGGACGAACCATGAAATAGGTTGTCCTTGCTGGAGATCTTGAACTTAGCCTTCGTAGTAATCTTTTGCTAAGCTTTCCACCATACACACCCTCTTCTTTAGAAGGGTCCCTTGAGAGTTCCAGGCACATATGAAAAATGTACACAACTTTGCTCATGAGCAAATCAACATGGCAAACGACAAAATGATAGCTCTGAATAGTTCTGAGACAGGAATTTACTGAGTTACACAAGAATGACATAAAATAATGTCAAAAGTACTGAGGTTTCGCTGTCAAGCCTATATAAATTGAAGTGTGCTTCACAAAGACACAATCCAGAATATTACTCCGCTTGCAAATGCAATAGTGTTCTGAATTTGAGAGTCTAGTGAGTTTATTAAACTGTCTGAGGTTACAAAACCTGTGTCTCATTGTGCACTACACTGTTATCTGAGCTGTAATTGAGTGCTAGAAATAGCTGTTTTTTTTTCCTGGAAGATTCATTCAGCTAATCAATTTTTTAGAGTCTTAAGGACTGGTTTATTTATCTCCAATGGAAACAAATCCCTCTGATTAGTACAGTATATTTGTCAAAATTAACAGGAGTTTCAAATTCTAAGTTGGAATTATTAAAATACGTTGTTTATTTTTAAACAAGCTAGAAAAAAATATAGTTAAACTCTGAAATAAAATTCTCATGAACTTTGAGTTCCTTATATGAAATCCTGTTTTCCTATATGTATCTATTTTTATCTTACTTAAAGATATTAATATAATCTATCGATACTTTTTGCTCTAATTTATCTTTTAGACACTCAGTTAATGAATTTATCTTCAAGATAATGACAAAAATTAAAACAGCAAATTGTGAATTGAAATTAGCAACAGGTAACATACAAATACTGTTGGACAGACTCTTTAAAATGTTTTGACAAATTATTTTTTAGAATATTGCAAAATTTTCAATATACACAGTTAGAAAGTTACTATGTAACTCTTGATCATAAACAGCAAATTTTTTTTGGAATAATTCCATTAAGACAAACATTACCACTAATACTAATAATACAACATTTTTCTGGCCTGTAATGCTCTGATAGGGACAAAACACTTATCAAAGTTAAAGACCGAGGAAAGTTTTTATTTTTTAAAGTAATTCCGCCGTTTTACTAACCATAAGAAGAATATTTCTAATAGATCTCGCATAACAATCAGTTAATTGCATCATTAGCATAAGAATTGTAACAAAGTGGTAAGTACAGATAAACTTGACATATAGCAATAAGCAATAACTACTCTTTAATTTGGTAAAATTCAAAAAAAGAAAGAAAAAGAATAGAACCCTGTTTATATGTAGTATGTGGTTATATGATACTGCTTGGTTTATTTATTATTTTTTTTTGGACTTTATTCCAAACCTGTTTGAGAAGTTTAGACTTTCCTTAGTTCGTAATTTTATTTTTAAATTGTTGATAATTTTGGTTAGACAATGTCCATAAATCCTGAATATAATTTGTAATATGCAAAATTCATAAATCTTTCTACTAAGAACTGCAATATCTATCTTAAAAATATAGGTCAGTATGATGCATTGAGAAACCACTATTTTAATTACCTAATTCTCCCGGATTCATTTTATAATCAATGAGAAAAATAAGCAATTCAAACACTGTCATGCTTTTAGTGGTAATAGACAGATGGAACATAACCAGTGCTTATTTTGCTATTTAACTTAATATCCCTACCAGATAGGATATAACAAGAGGTTGTGCTATTTCACGTATGTAAAGTACTGCTGGTAGTTTATTCATACACTTAATATAAATGTATCCAATAAAGTAGCCCCGATTACCAGACCATTTATTGTACAGACACGAAGTCGTACAATTGTCGGGTAATCGGGGTCGAACAGTAATTCAATAATGAAAGCAGCCACTACTCACTGTCAACAACAGGTCCATTTGTCAGTATCACTCTGTCGATTGAAGGTGTAATACTAGAGGTATCAATTTGTTGCAAAAATGAGATAGTAGTTGGAATAGAAGTGAGTGTAGGGGTATCATCAATCAATTCTGCAGACACACTATGATATTGAGCGGGAGATTTATTAGACGCTGAAGCTACATTGAAGCATGATGAGGGGAGTGATGAATAGGAATGATCAGAAACTAGCATTAGCACTGGTTCAGAGGAGTCGTTTTTCAGCCTCTCCAACTGTTTTCTTTGTATTTTAAAGAGTTCATCGTCTTGGTCTAGGTAGTTCCTAAAATAATCTGACATAGAGTTTTCGTTAAAATGGGACCTGCTCGTTGAGCTCTCACTTTTACACCTATTGAAAACAGAGGAAGCACTGCTGCCATTGCTTTGATTTTCGTTTTCATCATGAGATGAGGGAGGTTTCTTTGGCCGGAAGATTTTCCTAAATTAGAAAAATCAAAATAAATGCCTACTTTTATACTATAAGGTGAGCAATAACACCAAATAATAATTTTATTAGTAGGATTATGTATTTTTTGCCTAAAAATGTATATTCACGGTACCTATTAATAATCAATATTATACCTGCCAACTTTTTTTCTCAAATTAGCAGAAAATTTCTTTAGTGAAAATTAAAGTGAATTTAAGTTAATAATACTATACAAGGTATGCAGATTTTTATGAGTAAAAAATATATTTATAAATGATATATTTATATAGGATTGACAGTAATAGAATATCCATCATTATACTTAGGGAAATATTCAATTAATGTTAAAAAGTATTTAGCAATAACAGAATACTTGCAAAAACTTAGTGAGAAAAGAGAAAGTAAGGTAGGAAAAAAAAAGTAAAAGGAGAAAAAAGTGAGTAGACTAAATTCGTGCAAAATGAGATAAAGTTGGCAGTTATAAAAAAGAAAATAAATTTCCCATCACTAAAAATGACACAGACACCAAACACCGCAACTGTTTCATTGTCACATAACAAGTTTTTGATTGATTTATAGAAGTCTATTGCCCAGTTATTATTATACTTTTTAAACTTAATTTTATTACATTCTTTGTAGAAATTTCTTCTCCTTTCGAAATACTATGAATAAAAATCCGAATAAATATTTGCCTATAAATAATTTTTGTTGGGCACTCACTGTCCTGTAAGCAACTTTTTGATAGTTAAGAAATAATGTGTGGAATGTATAGTAATTTATGAGAAAAAATTAAAATTAAATGACACTAAGAAACAACTGCCTAAATTTGTGTTTACTGTGCTATTATTGTTTTACATTACTTTATTTTCTGCACTACATTTGTTTAAGTGCATATTGAGTATGATTAAGTGTTAAGTATTTAAGATTTTAAAAAGTGTTACAGTTATTTTATCTATTGTATCAAAAGTGAAAATTATGCAGATCACCCAAGTAATTTTTATTAGTAATTTTCCCCCTTCTAATCTACAAAATATAAACCAACAAGTAGAAATTTATACATGGAAGAACACGTAACAAAATCTGCCAGTAAAATCCAATTGCTTTATTAACACTAAAAACTTGAAGATTGAGATGAAACTACTCCATAGTCTTATAACTGGTAAGCAAATATGTTCATAGTGGGTAGAAAGAGTTTCTGAACAGTTTTTGATCGCATTACAAAATTAAAATAACAATTTTGTAACAAGCTTTAGCAGAAAAACCATAAAAGTCTCATTAAAATACTATGTGAAAAAATGGATAGATAAAAACTGAGCTTTAAAAACTTCAATAATTTTTTTTAAAAAATTGCAATTCATACTAAGAAAAAAAAAGTAATTAAAATAACTTTAGAGTAGACGCAATGCAAATGAAATTAAACATTTAAATTTTAATTTTGCTCATAACTCACAATATAAAAACAAAGAGTAAAAATAAATGAATAAAAAACCACTGACCATTCATTCCTTATCTCAGACACTAAGTCGTTACTGGAAGGCATACCATTTGGAGTTGAGAAATCTATGCTGTCCAGCTCGGATAAATGGTCATCTAATGGTGTCCAAGCTCGATCCATCACGATCCTATAATTGCAATATTGACATAATTGCTGTCTTACTTATAATTATATGCAATCATACAATGCAAGTACTGGATATGGTGAACAGGAATTAATATCTACTCTCAACACCAGATTTTTAGTTATCAAATGCCTAAAAGAAATAAAATTTGCTAATTAATAACGATGAGGGTATCCTCAGTAGGCTTGTAAAGTCAAACTTGCGAGTCGAATCCAATTTCAAAAGGTGTGGAATATTTTTAGGCATTTGTAAAAAGTCTAGTGCAAAGTTTGAAACTTCTAAAAGAGCTAACTGATGTAATTTATTTCACCATTTACATAACCACAATCATTTTTTAGAAAAGCGAAAAAGGCAAAACGAAACAAAAAAGCACAATACATATGGTGATTTAGTACAGTTACAATCAAGATAAACAGGACACATAAGGATTGAGAATTGGATAACAACCCTTGGCCAGAAATGCTATTGTATGCCCCTAGATCAGTTTAATGACTTATCTGTCCACATGCATTTGAACCAGCATTTTTATCAATCAAACTCACCTTATTTTCACCTTATTATTCATTATCTTTAATAATATTGTCGAAAACTCCATTGAAATAGGCCAAGAAAGTTTATTGCAATTTTCTGATTTTGAAATCAAACTGGTGAGCTTAGTCACCAAAGAGACTCAGAAACAGTTTCTTTATTGCAATTTTCTGATTTTGCAATCAAACTGGTGTAGTCACCAAATCAAAAAACCCAAGATAAAACAGTTAAATCCAGAACACAAATATTAGAAAATGTAAAAGATTGTACCAATTAAAATTTCAGAGAGCAGCTAGTTCATAAAAAAGAAGCACCCGTAACAATGTACAAAGGCAATTCCAGCCATGGGTTGCAATGCAAATTTACATCATCCTTTACACCTTACCTTATCTCCAAATTAGTAACCACTGTACAGAACCATCGTGTATTTTTTTTCTCTAAACAATCTTCTTACCTCTGAATTATTTGCTTACATTTCCTAAAGTGAAACAACCTCATCTACTTTAGAAGATTCTATATTGCAGGAGAAATCCGCCATGACAAATTCTCTTTCAACTACATAAATAACTTAAAGCTTTAAGTACAGAAAAAGAGAGTTTAGGTAAATTTAGATAACACTATGAAGTTAACGCTGACATTTTCTCTCTCTCAAAACCCGAAATGTAAAAAAAGAAATTAAGGTAGGATTAGTTAGGAATGCATGATGTGTAAGTTATCCTGCAGTGGTTTGTTTGCATTTAGAAAAAAAAAAATTTCAGCCTTTCAAAAATTTTGGTTTATATGACTACCTGAGCTTACTTTTTTGAAATGTTACATTTTTAAACTACCAATGGAGGTTCCATGGTATAGCACTCTCACAATTTCATCCATAAAAGAATTTATGGAATAAAATATTCTGTAAACGAAGAATAAAGAAGAAATTTGTCTTACTTTGCAATAACCTTACAACAGTACTTAATTTTAAATAATTTTGTTTGACTTTACAAACCCTAGGGACTAGCCATAATTCTCTCAGCCATTAATTTTACTAAAAATGCTAATGAAGTAAATATAAAAATTTGAAATCTTAAATAACAGAAAAATATATTCTTTGAGACAAAGTCCTTTTTATTAGTTCCAAATAAACTATTCATTTTGTCTACTGCACTGAAAATGAACAAGAAAAATTAGAAGCAAATACAGACAAATAATTTAGAACAAAATAAGATTAATAATTATTAAAGGATTGGGTCAACACAGTGAGGAGTTACGCTGTATTCAGACGAGTTCTTTATTATTATTTTTTTTAATATCAAGTTTTTACACCCCACTCCTAAATAGACAACTTAATGTATAGATTTGGAGCTTATCATTATATTGCAACAAGCTCTTTAGTTAAGCTAAAAATAATAACATTTAAAATGTGTAATGCTCACCTTCCTCCTCGACCTATTCTTCGCCTTGCAAAGCCGATGTAAGTTGGCCGATTATTTGAATCAGGTACAGATGTTAAACAATACCTATACCTCTTATCTTCTAATCCACCTTCTTCAGAACTACACCATGGCCAGTTCCCCAGACTGTCCAAATGAGGCTGCAATAATTTTATTAGCATTATTGACAATCAGAAAATTCTCTCAAAATATTTTTAAGATATTATACATTAGTTAAGAAATGGCTGGTTAAGTATCAATTTATTTGGTATCAGTTATAAAAGCATGATACTTTTAGTATCAGAACATACAAATTTTAATTTATAGAAATTCAAAATTATAATGTGAAAATTGTATTTATTTTAACTCTATTTTTAGTACTTTAGTTAAATCTAATACACAATCATAAATATTTTGTTTTGTGGATTTAGGGGTGCAAAGCCTTTTTACATGGAAGGGTCACTTGAAGAGCAGATTAACGGACGAAGGATCGTATGCCCAAATATTTAGATAAACGTGCGGACACCACTTACAGGAATGTTTATCAAAACATCAGAGTTCTAAACACTAAGTTCCTTTTCTTTTCTGGTTAACTTAGCAATATATTCGCATAGAATTAAATACTTTTAAACGTTAGATTTTATTTAAAATTAAGGAATGCAAAACCGATTTTTTTTTTTTAAATTTATTTACTTATCAAATAAAATAAACATAAAACAGAATTGAAATAAATAAAAACAAAGGAAAAAGTAATGTTTTTCTTATATCACATTATTTAAGACCAATTCTAGCAATGGAAAACTCTAACATTCATTGAATTTAAAAAAAAAAAAAAAAAGAAATATTCCGTTGAATAAAATAAATGCTATCTAAATACTGTGATTGCAAGAATTTAAAAGGTTTAAATTAAAACAAAGCCATTATATCCCAAATAAGATTAGACACTTAGCGTGATGTTGCAATCTAACACGTCAAGAAGAAGCAATTGGAAAAATACAGTGAAACCATGATGAAATCGAACAGGTCCAAAGGTAATTTTTGAATAAATAAATCAAATAGTTTTCCACAAAATTAGAAACTCTAGAGCCATAACATCGCACGAGTTAAAAATACCAAAATTTGAAAAGAAAAAACAAGTAAAAATGGGTGTAAAATTAGGGATGATAAAAGTAAATTTTAACCTTTTCAAATAATATCGTTCAAAATTTTTTAATTTAGTATCTCTTGTATAAAACAGAAAATTACAAATCATAACAAATAGAGTAATGTATCCTGTTAATCCTATTGATTAGGTAGAACACTCAGAAAAAAAATGCCATTATGTGCAGTATTTTATTTAAATTTTTTTTTTTTTTTTAACAATAGCTTTTGCATAAAGTCAGCACAAACTGGAGCATATATAGTTTCTGTGTGGGAATGCGCAAGTATTATTATACGCAGATATTACGATATAGATGAAGCACTTGAAACCCTGTTCAAGTTCAGGAAGCATTCACGTCATGGGAAAAGAATTTTGATCTTTCTGAAACCTATTTTGAATATTACACATTTTTCTCACCATATTCAAGTATTTCTAAAGCTCTTAAAAAACAATGCTAAATTCAACTAACTTAAAATTTTTTAAAGGTCACGGGAACCCCATTAAACTTAAGGACTTTTTCATGGTTCTTAATTTTTGTGATGCAAAATTATGCGCCATTGAGCATTTTTAAAGCACATATGAATAATGTTAAAAAAAAAAAAAAAAAAAAAAAAAAAAAAAAAAAAAAAAAAAAAAAAAAAAAAAAAAAAAAAAAAAAAAAA